CACATCCCCGCCCTCCCACACAGGCACACACACCATCGCCCCCCCCCCACCCCCACACCCACAGGTACACACACCCAAACCCCACACACCCACAGGTACACCCTCTCAAACCCCCCACACCCACACGTACACACACCCCTCCCCGCATGCACTCACGCACACAACAATCCCCACAAACCATGCCCCCTCCCCCCAAACACACTCACACAGGTGCGCACCACCCACACACGCTCAGGTACGTATCCACCCCCACACACACCCAAGTACAAATTCCCTCAACACACCCAGGTACATACCACCCACCCACACACACACTCACTCACTCACACACACAGGTACACTCACTCACACACACACACACCCCCCACATATACCCCCACACACGCACACACAGGTACACACACACCCAGGTACACTCCCCCACATATATACACACACACCTACACACACATCCAGGTACACATCACCCACACACATCACCCCCCCAACTCTCATACATGCAGGTATGCACCCAAGGACACCCGCCATGCAACCCAACCCCCCCCCAACACAAATTTACACCATCCCCACCAACATACCCAGGTACACGCTCCAGACACACACAAACAAACGCAGAAGTTACATGTACCAGTGCATGTACACACGCTGGGATTAGGCAGGGTCAGTGTGGAGCAGCTACTCCCAGCTGAGACCCACCGGCCTGAGGAACTGACAATACAGATGGACAGCTGCTGCTAAACCCAGGAGGAGGTTCTCCATCACTGGTGCAGGGGGCAATTGAGGTCAATACAGATCAATTTACCTGCACGGTAGGTAACTGTGAGTGGCAGAAGGGAATTGAGGCAAGGGGAGATGACAGAGGCTACAAGAGGGTCTGGTGAAAGTTATGGGGAAAATCCTCTGGAGACATGGAAAGAAGTCACAGTTCAGCCAAGGTCTTATTAAATGGAGGTGCAGGTTTGAGGGGCTGAATGGCCACCTTCTGCTCCTGTAAATGGAGCATCAAGAAGCAGAATAGTGACAGGGGGTGTAAATGGACAGTTTCTGTGCTGCATACACATGGCACGTTCCAATCACACCAGGGGAAGGGGGTCATTTGACAAATGTATACAATAACAAAAGGTGAACTAAAAGCTAAAACATGAATCAGTTTCTCTCTCTGTGGATGTTGCCAGTCCCCCCGAGTTTCTCTCGCACTCTACGGTCTTGGCTCAGATTTCCCACATTTACTGTGTTGGGGTTTTGTGTAAAGCCCCTGACTGGGGTTTATGTTTGTAAAGGACACGGGTCACTCACACAGTCCCTTTCCATTCCTCACCTTGCTCCATGTTTCCCATGGGAGCTGCAGAGTTCACACCCATGGCCTGCTTGCCCTGGCTGATGACGGGGCTCGGGAGGGTGGTCTTTGGAGATGAGCTCCATCCCGGAGAGGCGACAGACATTGACGGTGATTTGAGCCGGTTGGGGGAGCTGGCTGGAGAGCGGACAGGAAGCGAGGAGCTCATGACCTGGGGGGACTTGATGGGAGCCGAGGAGTTGGTGGAGTTTAAGCTGGCCAACTGAGACGGTGTCTGTGGAGATTTAAGATTGGCTGATGGTGAACTGACGAGAGGTGAGTGGACCTGGCTCATGGTCGGTGATTTAAGGTGACCCATTCCAGGAGAGTTCATCTGACTGATGTTGATGGTGAGGTCAGAGGGCCTTCGGCCGAGTCCTCTTTGGGCCCCTGGAAGCATTGTGCCCACGTTACCGTGGTTACTTGATTGATTGGAAGTTGGAGCCATTTGCATATGGCTCAGCCTCGCTGTACTACTCATGCTGGTTACTGGAATAGGGCCTTGCTCAGGACTGAACATCTCCCCAGGAGTCCCCATGTTATTGACTTCCTGAGACATACTGGAAAATTGTCCTTGACCACCTGGAAAACCCTGTTGTCCGTGATTTGGGAATTGTGACTGTGGCACCATTTTCTGAGGGTCGCCCAGCATCATGTTACCATTGGGTGCCCTCACTCTTGCCATCTCTTCTGCAGTCAAAACTTGGTGTGACATCATTTCCTGTGCCCTCATTTTCTGCGACATCATCATCTGTTGCTGGGGGGTCATCTGGACATTGAGATTCATGTTCATGTTCATGTTGACATTCATGTTCATATTGACATTCCCAGAACCCATGGAGGAGTCCATATTGCGCATGGGTCCCGACTGCCCCAAGGGAGGGCTCAACATGCCCCTTGACCCAACAAAGTCTAAACCCATTGGGTTTCCACTTACATTGTCTCCAGGTAATTGGCCAGGGAACATTCCGGGCTCCATCTGTCTCTGGGCCTGCATCATTCTCTCCATCTCAAGCCCCTGGGACATTCCAGCCATGCTGTTGGTGTTGTTCAGACTGAGGGGGCGCTGCATCCCCACTGATCTCTTTTCCATCAAGTGCTGCCTCAACAGCTCTTCTCTGGCCCTCGGGTTCATGAACCTCTCGGGGTCTCCCTGGCCAGGGTGAAAGGGTATACCTCCCTGTGGGAAGTTCCCGGCTCCCACCATTGGAGAGATGTCATCGGGCCAAGGCATTCCGGGCCGTACCTGCCTCTGAATTGGATTAACGCCTCCCAAAGCCTCCACTGGCATGTTGTGCATTCCTCCATATCCAGCCACCCTCTGCATTTGGTTGGTGGGAAAGCGGGGGCCTGAGAAAGGGGCAGTCCCACGGGGCTGCAGAGAATCAGAGCCCTCCATGGGGCTGGTGAAACGGGCCCCCATTGTTGCTGGCCACTGCTCTCCAGCCTTGCTGTGATAGGGAGGTGGGGGCCCTCGGACCATCACACCCCCGATTGGTCTCTGCATCATTATCTCTTGCATAGTCCTTTGCTGAACCACAGCTTGCTCTTGCTTCCTCCTCTTCTCCTCATAAAAATCTTCCTGGAGCTTCCTCCAGGCTATCTGCTCTGGAGTCAGGTTCTCCTGGTTACTCTGATTCATCATCATGTTGACCTGTTGTCCCATTGGGTCACGTTGCATTATCTCCTGGTGATGTATGGGGTCGTGCTCCATATTCTGGCCTTCGACTCCAGTCAGAGACTGGGTCTGGGAGATCATGGATTGTAAAGGTTCCTCCGGCTTTTTCATGGCCTGCTGTCCATCCCCTTGTCCATTGGGGCCACAGTTGCCTTTCATAGAAAACTCAGTCTCACTGCTGCGTAACAAGAGCCTTTCAATGTCCCTTAGAGTCTGTAAGGAACGCTCCCTGTGTTCCAACTGCTCCTTGGACAACCCTTCGGTGTTAGGGTTAAGGTTCATGATCAGCGATCCATTTCCATTTGGGTTGCCGGCCTCTCCAGTTCCTCCACTGGCTGGATCTCCAACTGGAACCCCCGTCATTGGGTTGCCGGCTGGGTTACTAGCATTGGGGTGACTGTTCCCCAATTGGGTTCCAGCCCCACCATTACTGTCCATCGACTTGGGTCCAATGTCCGTGTGCAGGGGGTCCACTCCAGTTGCCCCCTCCTGAGGCAGTGAGCTCGGAGGTTGGAGGCTTTGGTGCGGAGTTTGAGGTTGCGGAGTGCGAGCTGGAGGTGTGTTGAGTGACAGCTGCTCTTGGAGTCCAGATCCTTTCTGAGGGGCAACAGAGGGCTGTTAGTGGGTGAGACAGAGAGAGAGAGAGAGAGAGAGCGAGAGAGAAAACTTAATCACCAATAATTCTGGCACAGTGTTCCCAACTATCCCAACTACACTCCGTCCGTGTCAAACCCACACATGGTGACAGTGCCACTGGTTAACATATCCCACCCGTAATCTGTGCAGTGGCACTGAGACGCACCATCATTCTCCCCTACAACACCTCCTGAAATTTCTCACATCCAAGATGGGATCAAGGCAGAAAAGATGAACTCATTACACCTGTGCGTTCTAACTCTCTTGACATCTGCAAGTTATTTTAACCCATTTTAAAAGGTGGAAGACAACAGATTCCAAGCATTGAACTGGTTTGTTAATTAATAAAATCACTGTTCTTTCTCCACACATTTTTGAGTTAATTAATCATCTGCTTTATCATAAGAAATGATTATTTTAATGTGGGTGTGGGTCTGAACAGGCTTGGTGTGCAGGAGCTTTGAGCACACAGAGTTATACAACACAGAAACAGATCCTTCCGTTCCACCAGTCCATGTGGACCTTAATCATCCTACAGATCTCACAAGTTTCTGAGTCAGTGAGCTCTTAAAGGCTGCAAGAGACGGGGGAATGCCTGGGAGAACCTGTCCCTCCTTCAGTTGTCTCATGGTCAGTGAGCAGCCTTACAGCACGCAGCAATGATACAAGAACCTGCCTCACTCCAGGTGAATCAACTGCCATCAACTCCTGCCTTCCCCAAACCCTGGACTCAAAGTCACCCTCAAACCCCTCTGCCCCTGCTCAAACTTTCTCCTTTCCCCAATCACAGTCACCCTTCCTGCTGCCACTGAGACAAGAGACCACAACAGTGTCCAGTAACAGGTATTTCTGCCTGCCCAGCTGGACCAGATAGTCCTTGTCACTACACACTCACACAAAGGACAACAAAAATGGGGAAGTTTGAAATGGATTTTTGTTGGATCAAGGGTATAACATCAAATACAAGAGCATGGTGTGAGGGAGAGATAGAATCATAGAATCCCCAGAGTGTGGAAGCAGGCCATTCGGCCCATTGAGTCCACAGCAGCTCTGTGAACAGCATCCCACCCAGATCTACATCCCCCACCTCCCAACCTATCGCTGTCACCCTGCATTTCCCACGTCTAATCCACCTAGCCTACACATCTTTGGACTGTGGGAGGAAACCAGAGCACCTGGGGGAAACCACACAGAGGGAATATGCAAACTCCACGCAGACAGTTGCCCGAGGGTGGAATCGAACCTGGGTCCCTGGTGCTGTGAGGGAACAGTGCTAACCACTGAGCCACTGTGCTGCCCTGCCAGTTAATGGAGCTGAGAAACAGATCAGCCTTGAACTTAATGAAATGTACAAGGAGATGGACTGTCTCCTGCTAACCCTCTGCTCAGTTCTGTTTGAAGAAGCTTCAGTGGAGTTCTTTGGGATGTGGTTCAAAACGCTGGTCACTCACCTTCTGATCGTACACTTGCTCTAGTTTTGTCCGAGGCACATTGTGAGTGTGGTAGGAGACAATGGAATCCGCACGGCCTTGTGCCACAGCCTCAGCAGCTCTGTCATCGAACACAGAACATAATCCAAACACCAACTCTGATATGACCTGCATTTCCTGTAAACACCACCCCCGCACCATCCCAAATACACCCCCTAAACCTGTACCCAATCTGCGGCCCCTCCCTCTGACTCACACAAACCCCAACATCTCAGACACTGGAGTCCAGGATCTTAACTCAGTGCTGTCCTTCACTACCGGAGCCAGTGGGTATAGGGCAGAGGTTAGGGTCAGTCACAGCGGGCAGCCAGATCTGGGATAGCTATATGTTTCCAGACCTCCTCCAAGCCATTTACACCAGTTCTGTACCCACCCTCTTCCTTTGCTCATCCCACCGCTCCGCTCCGTCCTATCCCAGAGTTTCCGTTCAGTGTTACAGCAAAAGTTTAGCCTCCAGCAGAAACAGGCCATTCAGCCCTAATGGTTTAATGCTGACATTTTCATTCAACACAACTCTTTTCCCACTCCCCCCTTCATCTCACACTTACATTATCCCTCCATTCCTTTCTCTCTCGTGTGTTTATCTGGCTCCAATGTATCAATACCATTACCTTGATGGCTCCCTATGGGAGCAGGTTCCACACTCCCCTCAACTCACTTTGTAACAAAGATTTTCCTGACTTCCTGATAAGATTTATTAATGTCTGGGAGAGACCCCAAGCCCCTCCCCCATCCTGCCCCTAATACAAGGTAAGACCTGCTACATCTGTATGTTTCTCTGGGGTTTTCTCCCCACTGAACGGTGACACTGCTGAGTGTTAGCAGCATCAGCTGTTTGCACTCACATGTTGGCCAGGTTAGTGGTGAAGACGTACACAAACTGAGAGGGTGGTTTGCTGGGATTCCTCGAAATGTTAGTGTCTGTTCGCAGGCAGGGTCCCCCCGCTGGATTGTGGGTGATGCTGGCAGGAGCAGTGTCTGTGACCGTTGGCAGGGGTTTCGAACCAGGAGATGGCTGAACAGTCCCCGAGAGCACGGATTCCACAACGTTACAATCTGGAGAGAGAAAACAAACGGATAGTTCCTATCAGAGAGATTCCGAGTTCATGGTTCACACACTTAGGTATCATCCACAGGGCAGAGGAGAAACAGGCAAGGAACGAGGGAACAGGCAAAGGAGACGGCGAATAAGTGGGCAGGAGAGCATGAGTGAACAAGAAGGGAACAAATGAGAGAAGGGGGACAGCGAATGAGAGAAGAGGGAGAGTGAACGAGAGAAGGGGGCGAGCGAACGAGAGGGGGGGAACGAACGAACGAGAGAGAGAGACGTGGAACGAATGAGAGAGAGAGAAAGAGAGGGACAGGGAATGAACGAGGGTGGGCATGAACAAGAAGGAGGGAATGATCAAGACAGCAAGGGAACGAACAAACGAGTGAGTGAGGGAATGATTCAGAGTGAAGGGGTAAAGAGAATGAATGAGACAACAACTGAACGAGAGGCAGAGTGAGACAGAATGAGAAAAAGAGAAATCAGAAGTCTGGAGAAAGAGCAAGTCTCAGGCACTGCAGCTGGTGGCCACTAGATGGAGCCAGATGCTGGTAAATGGGAGCGTGTTGCAGTGGGTCTGGGGACAGAGCCCAGGCTATGAGACAGGGATAGGATCAGCTTTAAATCAAAAATTAATGATGCAGATGTGGAAAATGTAGGTATATATTTTGAAGATCATATATAAAATCTGGTCTGGAGGGAGGGGGATAAATAGAGGCCTGAAGCTGCTGAGGCTGGTGCTTATTGGGGAATTACAACACTGTCATCATAAGATTTTTTTGTTGTTGGGTAAGTGGTCTCATTAAACATGGAAAGGGCTGGAGGGGTTGAATGGCCTCCTCTTGATCCAAATAGCAAGGAAATGTAAAAACGAGAAGATTAAGATTTGTGAACTGTTAGTGTGAATAACAGATAAAAGCAACCGGATTACACAGACATTTGCTGAAACTTGCTGTTTCAACCTCACTCACTATGAGCAGTAACTCCAGCTTTCTCCTCATCATCACTGTCAGGGCCTGAGTACCACTCGTCCCCACTGTACGGCTGCTTGCGCTCCAGCACACAGCGCCTCTTGCTCCGGGGGGCTCCGTCCACTGGCAGGCAAACACAAACAGCAACCATCAATTCCCAACTGGAAAATATCACCCCACAGCCCAACGTATCACCTTCTCTCACACACTCAGACACACACACACACTCAGACACAGACACAGACAGACACACAGACAGACACACACACAGACAGACACACACACACACACACACTCAG